AACAGTTGTTAAATGGCTCAGAAAAATCAAGCAAAGTTAACATTTTTTAAAAAATACAAACCACATTTCTTTACAGGATGAGGTTGTGCTTAATAACCTATGCTTAATTCATTCAGAAACTACACGATTTTTGTTGCTATATTTTGTTAGAAAGGAAGGAGAGACTGTTTCTACAGGTGTCATAGAAAAATCAATACTGAGCCAAGGATTATTGGATCCCATAGAACCATGGAGGCGTGGCAGTGAAATTCTCCCAAAGGTGAGTAGGGGCATTGATTTCCCTTCCATGCCTGCAGAAATATGACACAATGAACAGAGGCTAAATTAGGACAGGAAATAAGTCTGATTTGAAACTGTACTGTAAAAAAAATAGTGATACCTTTTTTTCAAACAAATAAATGAGAAAATGTAAGTAGAATTTCAACATATGCATTTTTCTTATTTATTTTCTTAGATTCTTTTCTTTATCCTCTTGAGTACTTTTGAAAAATAAACCCCCAAAACTGGACTCCTTGACTGATATTTTATCTGTAATTCAGATCCTATGATTTCCACGTGGAATACTTGTATTATACGATATAAAAGAGTCTCTCTCAAACCTATAACCAAGAATGCAGCAACCCGTCAGTTTCTAAAAAAAAACATATTATCTACATAATCGCAATCACACTTACAGATATGAGCCCATCACTAACCTTCCTTATTTAAGCTATGTATTTTTCTAGCTAATTTGTGCTATAATTTTTAGACACAAACTTGCTTGTTTACATATTTTACAGTTTCTTCTTTGTTTAGATTTCTTAAAGCTAAAAAACTATACATAACATATTGGTTGTTTGACTGCATTGCTTAGCATTCCATCCGTGCAGGCAGACGGTGTTCCTAGGTTTGGAAATATAAATCCCATGGGAAGTCAGCTGAAGAACATTTTATGCATCACTTATCCTGTTACGAGCCCTGTGCTGTTCTGTCTCTCTATAAGGTAAGAGATTTATTGTGAGTTGGCTTCCAGAAGTAGAAAATGTTGTATGCTAATGGATGTTGCTTCAAAGTGGCTTCTGGAGCTCATATAGAAATTGTTTTATAAGCAAAAGAATAATTGGAACAATTCAAGTTACGCACACACGCATGTTCATCTGTCCCCAGGTAGCATTTGGTTGTTCTATCCTGGGATCCACATTCTATAATATTATCTTTCTCATGTGAAGTGAGATGGTAAATTGTTCATTTTTATAATGAATTTGAGCAGAGTATAAGATTAAGGAAAATAATTTAGGCCTCAAAGTAGAAAATTGACAAATTACCGTCTTGCTTTGTCTGGGATAGATATACTTTGAGTTTTAGTAATTTGTGGGATCAAAAATGGATTATAAGAAAATTAAGCCAGGTGCAGTGACTCATACCTGTAATCCCAGCTACTTGGGAGGCTGAGGCTGGAGGACCCCTTGAGCCCAGGAGTTTGAGGCTGCAGTGAGCTATGATTGTGCCACTATACTCCAGCCTGGGTAGCAGAGACCACATCGCTATAAATAAAATAACATTAAAAGATAGTTAAAATATAAAATGCTGGCACATTCACAGTAATATAGAAACCTTAGTATTTTTTTTAGATTTTTGCTTTCTGCTGACCAGTCAAAAATTCTTACTTTTTTTCTTATTCTGAACTTTCAGACTGGCTGAAACCACAACGGTTGTTTGCAATCTGCACTCTAACTTTGGATCACCTAGTTAATACTCTGACTCTGATTATTACCAAAGACAATATTCTCTAAAAGATATTCTCTATAAGAAGGATGCTCCTGCATTATTAATAACATCACAGGGAAAATGCAACATTTTGGATGTCACATCTGATAAGGTGAGATTTTATCATGTCTCATAAGATGTGATTTCATATGATTGTACTTATGACTATCCCAGCCCCATGAAAGTTTTCATTTATCCATTCGGTGTAGAAATCTATAATATAAAGCTTCATATACAGTTATTTAAACTGTGACCTAAAAGCCAGGCTATTGAATATATTTTGTTTATGTGTAAGTCACATTATTTTTACTGTTTTTTTCTATCCTTTGCATCTTAGAAAAATATGACTCAGTACACCATACAGCATATTTAAATTAAAATATAAATTGTGTACATCATTATTCTTATGTGGGGAGGGGGGAGGCTGGGAAAGGCATGCTATTCTGTAACCTTGGACAAAATTTGACTTTTGATGTGTGAATTCTTAAATGTGCACAAACCAAAGACAATGGCATACATACTTTGACACGTTCTGAAGTTAAAAGAGGACATGAGGATTGTATGATAAGTGGCAGCCTTGTGTCTACTATTGTATAATATAATGTCTGCATGAGAAGAAAAAAGTACAAATAACAATGGCGAGATGATGGAGAAGCTGACCATAAGTAAAATTCCAGGTACCTGTTGATGCAATATGAGGATACTAAAATATCTAGCCCTCTATGTATGCTGTATATCCTGTAATCCATCAGAATGGAGTCACTGTCTTCAAGTCCAAAAATATCAGTGTGTTCAACACTGCTACCCTGTATGCTATATTAAAATGTCTCATAATATGTAAAATATATATTATCCATGTCTGAGCAATGTGATATAGTCATTCTCTCTTTGGGTTAAGCATATCTTATGATTTTCCTAAAATGTCGCAAAGATAAGCATCTACTAGATAATTTGTGATCTGTAAATATCATGACTGTCTGAGGGGAAGTGGCAATTAATGGAAGCATAATTATCTTCAATGTGAAGAAGGTCTGGGATGCTGACTTTGGGGAACACAGTGTCTTTGGCTCCTTAGCATTTTCTTGATTTGCTTTGTTGTCGTCCTTCTGGTTCTTTCTGGATCCATCTCTCTTTTGTTTCCATTTGAATCCTCTATTGTATTCCAGTTGGCAGTTAAAGAACAGAAACACAGCAATAAGACTGAGTGGCTACATTTTCCCAGTGCCACCAACTGGGAGTTAAGCTGACTAACATTTTGAAAGCCCAGCCCATTTCATTCACAGCAGGATGGCAGGTAAAAGCATTTCTGTATTAAAGTACACACTTTGTTTCTTCAGGTTCTTGGTCTAATTTCTCTTGTTTGCCAGTTGGGGGGAGAAATGAAAGTAGGTTGGGGATGAAATGCCTGGGGTATTTAATCAAATGCCCAGCAACTCCTGATTATAGGATGCAAAAATTTCACTTTCGAGGATTAATTATGGTGGATTTTTTTCAACCCAAATGGGTGTACCCTTCTCTCCAGCATGTTATGGGGCTACTTTCTACCACTGCCAAAATAGAATGTAGTAGAAGAATTCCAAGTAGTTTTAATAATAACTCCTGGGTTATTAAAAATTAAATATCTGGGGTAAAAAAAATCCCATTAAATGTACATGTTCGTGAAGTACCTCAAATCATTTTGTTTTACAAAATTTTACATGTCATTATTTGCTCCTACTAGAACAAGAAATTGAGAATAGGTTTCACAGTGTTCTATTAATTTGATTACTGTGTCCTAAGTGGTAAGTATAAACCTCCTTATGTATTTTGTGAAGCTCACTTAATCAAGCAAATATTAAAAAGCACATTATCATATTACTATGCTGATCCTTGACCTTTTGGCTTGTCACTGTCTTGTGTTGGATGTCTTTTTCTCATGTGCATGCAGATGAAGCTTGGGGACAGAAAGAGTGAGGAAAAGCATTAGCCCTGCTCCCTGAATAGTAATGGGCTGTGGAATTGTCTTTTGGGAGGGGATTTCCCCTGGGAACAGTGAAATTGGGATGAATATTATCAGTTTGCATTGACATTGAATGCATTTTTAAGGAAGCTTAGATCACTTTATAAGAGTCATCTTGGATGGGTGAATGCAATACACAGTTGCAGTAGGAAGACTAAAGTTCTGAGATGGGTCAGATGACAGTGATAATATCATAACTCATTTTATGAATGAATCAAAAAGTTCCTCAGCTAGTGCCCACATACTCATATATTGAAATAAATTTTACAAAGCCTCTTCTTTCCCTGGAGTCTGCACATGCGCCATCTTACCATGGAATATAAACCTGCTTTGCCTGGTTTTATATTCTATGGCCATCCTGTAGATATTTCTTATCAGATTAGATCAACAGTTAACAGAGAGTACAGTGGAAAAGTAAAATAACATTTTCAAAGTTTTAGCAAGAAAAATATGAATAATTAAATATGAATGCATGTGCATGTTATGACTGTACCTAGGATCTTTTCAAGGGCTTGAGGTCCCTCTGTCTCAGTAATTAGACGAATTCTGTAGCCAGTTTGGCCTCAACCTGACAAAGATTTTCTATTTATAAATGTCCTTTGGGTCCATGAGGAATTTTGGACACTCATTTATTTTCTAAAGAGAGGTTCAAAATCAATAAGTTCAAAATATTTCAAAGTTGCAATGCACTTCTCTGTTTAAGTATAGCAGCACTGCCATGGATATAACCAAAATCATTCAGATGCTGAACAGGGCAACTCCATGGCACTCTGGTACACTAAATTACCCTCTCATTGTCTAATAACATGAGGCCTTTACATTTGTTTAGTGCTTTCTGGTTTTCAAAACCCTTTCCCAAGATAGTCATGAATGAGGATAAAATTTAGAGAGGTAGGGCACAAGGATTATTTTTTTTTTTTTTGCATTTCTTTTTCTAACTTGTTAAATGAAAAATGCTAGAGAATAAAATGTGTTTTGTTTTTTAATCAAAGAAACACATACAATGTGAATTAGAGCATAATTGTCATGGTGAGGAGAAGGGAAAGGAGGCAGTCACCCTTCAGCTACTGTGGTTTGTAGGGGTCCACTATGCTATGTTAATAAGTTTACAGCTCAAAAGAAGGCTGTACCATTTCTCTCTAATGTGACATAAAGTTAACAGACCCCTTGAACAGATATGTCTTTAAATATGAAGATCAGTGATCCATGGTTCAGGTCAAATACCTGCTCACACATACTTACTGAGCATACTAGTCCAAATTTTTCAACAAAGTAATAATACAAATAGAGGAGGGGAGAGAACAAGGACTCCTTGGGTCTAGGGGTGTTTCCCTAAGCAAGTTTCAAGCAAAACCATTTTTAATTGGAAGCTTTGTGATTTAGCTTAGAAATTCACTCTATTCTGTTATGATTATTTTACTATTTTTAGAAGTTTTAATAATAAGGGGCTTTGGCTTCCTTGCTACGGGAATCTAGAATATTGATGTATGTATGAATGTGGGTAATATGATGAAAATATTACCACTTAAGTTTGATGCACAAATATGGTGGTTGAACCAGAATTGGACCGGTTCGCATTCCTGCTCTACCACTTATTAGCTGTATAAACAGTGTCTAAACCCGCTTCTTCACCTACAAAATGAGGAAAGTAAAGGAAAGTAATCATACCCATCCCCAGAGTGGTTGTAAAGATTAAACAGGATAATGAATATAAAGCCTATGTTAAGAGGTTGATGAGTCTTAGCAATGATCTTTAATATTCTTGTTATTTATTGCCTGTCTTTGCATGTATACACATATCCTCTATATACGGTTTTTCTGTATTCATTATGATTCAAAAAATGTTGCCTAAAATTACCTAATAAAAATATTAAAGAAAATTGTGTCAGGTGATCGTGGTAACTACAGAAACTGGGAAAAACGTGAAAAGGCAATACCTTCCGTCAGCATTACCAGCCTTTCTTGAGAAGGTACACTCTCTCCTTATTTGCTCTGTCTGTTTTTCTCTACTGCTAAGACCTCCTTTCAATAAGGACCTGAAATTCATCCACACAAAGATCTAGATGATTGAGAACATTTGAGGTGCTGCCCTTGTGAAGGTCACTGACCTCTTATTAAGGGTCAGATACTAAGTTGACGAGGTTTCAGGCATCGGTAGCAGCTGGAGACATTTGTTTGACAGTGTGATCTACCCCTTGCCTTCAGGAGCTCTCCTCAGAGTGGTAATGGTTAAGTGGGCCAACAGGTAAGGTTAGTTCTGCTGCTGAAAGTGCCTGCTGGGGCTCTCTATGGGGTTTGTCTGACATCCTCAAAGGCTACCTCTGTCTCTAAGCCTAGGGCCATTTAGGAATGTCTGTCAGCTTTTTCAATTTTTTTTTCTTTTCTCCCATTTATATCTGCGGGTTTTATATCTAGTTATACCTTAAACACAACTGTAATCCTTTGAACCTTTTTTCCTAATATTCTTTATTTTTGGATATACATCAATTGTTTTTTTTTTCTATCCACATCCCATCCATATTCTCATTCTTGGCTGTCCATTGTATTTCTTTCAGAGATCTGTATTCATAATTTAAAGTGTTTCACATATCTGACTATTTTTCTGAGACAGTCTCCTGAAATACTCTTTTTTAAAATGTAACTTGTTTCACCTGTATTTTCTGTACCCATATTTTGGGATTTGAATGATTGCGTTCAAGTTTAAGGTATGCCTTCACTAGGAATGTATGCTTAGAAAACCATTTAATTTCTCAGCTGAGTTTATCAGAGGTAGAAATAGAAGACTCTGCCCATAGTATTGTAAAAATCAAATCAAATCAAAGTGTTTTGTAAACTCTAAAATGATGTAGAGGTTTTTATGTTTTCTTCTTTTTCTTTTCTTTTTTTTTTTTTTTTTTTGAGACAGAGTCTCACTCTATTGCCCAGCACAGTCTTGGCTTACTGCAGCTTCCACCTCCCAGGTTCAAGCAACTCTCCTTCCTCAGCCTCCCGAGTAGCTGGGATTACAGGTGTACAACACCACTCCTGGCTAATTTTTGTATTTTTGTAGAGACAAGATTTCACCACGTTGGCCAGGCTGGTTTTGAACTCCTGACCTTGGGTGATCTGCCTGC